AAATATTTCTAATATTATTCGAATTATTTTTTCATTTTTTTTAGTTTTATTATTTTTTAAAATTTTGTAAATTAGCTGAAATACTTTTAAAATTATTTCGTTTCTTTCACAATATTTCAAAATTATTTTATTTCGAAATAATTTCACATCAATCACAGTTATTTCAAAAGATTTTCAGTATGCAAAATCTTTCGCAATATTTCGTATATTTATTCTGCTGATATATTTTCTGTGCCTATAAGTGCAAACGTGCTGGTGTTAGCTGAAGGTGTTTGTAATTCTCAATATAACAAGATGTATTATGGATATTACATTAATATTTTAATTGAAGTTGCGAGGCAATTTTAGCTAATATGGTCTTGTTAGTAATAAGGTTTGATTCTTTTGGTATATAATTAGATTTTGATTTTTTTTTTGATTTTGTCTTCAATATTTTTTTATTAGAATCGCTATCTTCATCAGACAATTCCTATAAATATATAATTAAAAAAAATTATATTAATACATATAAAAAATATATAAACAGTCTATGAATGTTGCTGACAAGCTATCTAAACTATATCACATTGTGTAACAATTTAGCATTTTGTAAATGTAGTTATATTTTGTTAGTGAATTTTTACATAGTGTGATGTCAGTTAAATTGAAAATAAACTAATACGTAACTATAATATTATAATATGAACTTATATACCTTAGCTTTTCACTTGTTAGATTTTAATGTAATATATAGCACTATTTTTTTTTTGAACTTGGATTTTTGCATGCAGAAATGAATGCATTATAATTACAATCATTATCTAATACCATCACCTGCTCATGTCCATTTACTTTATAAGTAATTTCAAAGTTATCTTTATCAATATTGTTGTTATTAAGATGCTTACAAATATGGTTAATAAGGTCACAATAAAATATATCAAATTCATATGGATCAATTGTAAACCATTTTGTGGGTATCGATATAGAGTTTTTAATGTTAATAATAACTTTTGCTTCTAATTTCAAATGAAGATCTGAATTTTTATTATTTGGTAATATGTAGTCAGAATCATTATTTGGTGAACTAGAGTTTGTTGAAGAATCAGAATCTTCAATACTGATATAGTTAGCATTGGGTGAAGAGAAGTTTGTATCTTTGGAATGCTGATAGCAGCTATGACAATTATTACAAAAATTAAATTTAAAGCCTTTATTGAAATCATAATTATAGCCCCAAATATTATTATATCTTTTAAGAAATAATGTTTGATTCAAATGTATTTTTTTAGGATCATAAACTTGACTATAAATTTGGGTTTTAGAGTGAGAAGGTTTTTGCATCATATCACATTCACATAGACCTTCACCCAGATTTTTAAAGCAATAAAAGCATTTTTGGCATGAAAAACATATCCCAATTCTGTATAAAGATAACATTTTAACTATACATGTAATAAGCAACCATACTAACAGCTTAAATACCTTTAATATTCATTATCCAAAATATCATTGTATGTTGTATATACATTAAAAAAGTGTTGAAAAATTGTTAAATCCCTGAAATTAAAAATTAAATATCTTTAGTATGTCATTATTGGGTTTCTTAATTATTTACTAGATATGTATATAACAATAAATAGATTTTAAGGGCCAAACTCAATAATGGATTTTCTTTGACTATTTTACTGTAATTGTATAATGGAAATTTATACTTTTTAATTCAATAATGTAAGAGGCATAAAGCACCCTATACATGTTATTTGGAAACAAATAATACCGAATCAATAATTTTTTTGTATAAAACAAATGATACTTTTTTTTAATAAGAAATATAGTAAAGAGCTGACAATTGTAATAGAAAAGCACTAAAGCAGATTGTTAAATATTAGTAGCATTATGAAATTATTATTCGAGTTACTACATAACATTATGAGTATTTAGGCCAAATTTTTTTAGTAATTAAGATATAGATTCTTGAAAACTTTGAATGAAAATTATAAGTTGTTATATAATATTATATAACAAAACTTCATGTTAAGGGTAGAGTAGAGATTGAATCTGTTAAGAAAATCTCTATCTGGGTATTATTAAGTGTAACAGCTGAAGCTGAAATTGGCTAAAGCTAAAATTGGAAGGTCTCTATTTAAATCTATAAAACCTACTAAAATTCATTTGTATTCTTTTATACCAGGAAAGGAGTAATGAAATCACATAGTGTATAGATTATATGAGGGATTGCTTCACAAAATCTTAAGTTTGATTGGTCTGCATGACTTATTCATTAAAGTTTGGTCATTTTCACATATGAATTCATCACATATTTGGGTATAGCATAATTTGAATACAAAAAAATAAAAATGTAAGGTATTTCAAGTAATTATATAAAACCAATTTCTATCTATGTTCAATTCCTAGAGTAGAGTATCTACTCAAGAAATAGTCTAATAAATTATCAAAATTTGATCATTCTAAATACTTATAACATTACACAGTAACTTATTTTATATTATATTATACGTATTCTCTTAAAACAATATTTACTAAGCAGAACAAAGCCTTATTGCATCCAATTAACAACAATAAATATGTATATAATAAATATTTCATAGCACTACACCATTAGAAATATTTACTAGTAAATCATAGAATATCTTGATAGTGTATTTATTAATTATAATAGACTATTTAAACTATAAATACTAATATTGATATCAAATATTTAATCTTAAAACTTTAGAATATTTAAATACAATAATGTATAGTAATAAAACATTGAAAACAAAAGCTTAAGATAATAAAAATAACTAGTGATAAAGCAACATTATTTTATTGTGTTATTGTGCGTATTAGGTAAAACTATTTTGCTTAAATGGCAAAAGACAAAATTCAATTACATACAATATATCATGATATTTTTAAAAAATATGTGCTATAAATTATACCAACATTTGAAAAATTATCTCAATAGAGATCTCCAAAAATTTATTATTGTTGAACTTGTCAAATTTGATAAGAAATTAATCTACTAAATTAGTTTTTGCTATATATATCTAATAGTAATATTTTCAAACCTGATAAACTCTCAATACTAATAAAAAATGTTTACCAAGTATATTAAATTAGAGAGTTTTGACAGTACTATTCAATTGCTATGGTACTTTAAAATGATACATAGATAAAAATTTAGTAACTTTGAATTTTGCATATTTTTTTTTATGTATTTGATGTTAGACATCAGAAGTCTGTAATCAAAATCTTAAATACTTATTACGTAACTGATCTTGATTATTATACTAGGAATATTCTTCATTAATATCTCTAAGAATGACAGACTATGTATGCTTTCTGAGAGCTAGGTACTATTTAGTTTAAAATTTAGTTTTTTTACTGATTAGTGATTATAAGTTGTAAAACCCATCATGCGATCAAATAGAAATGCAAAATAATTACTTAGATAAATAAGGACCAGAAAAACTCTATTATAGGTTCTCACCACTCATAGACAGAAGTTGATTAGCTAATAAATTCAATTTTACAGTTTAGAGTACTTTTTTAAAGAAATGAAAACTAATCATAATGAAATAAAAAAAAGTTATTTAGAAGGTTTCATTAGAGCTGTAGGACACCATAGTCAAAATAAGCTTTAATTCTTATCTGTTTAAAAAAATTAGCTTAGTAATAACTTCTCAAAACCTAATAAAATCAACTTCTTACTATACTATTTTGAATTAGATCTTATGGAGTCCTATAGCTCTAATGAAACCTTTTAAATAACTTTTTTTTATTTCATTATGATTAGTTTTCTTTCTTTAAAAAGTACTCTAAACTGCATAAATAATGAAAAATTAAATTGAATTTATTAGCCAATTAAACGAACTTCTGTCTATGACCTCACTACAACAATATTTGAATACTACTATAAAGTTGAAAAATATAACTGACTTATCATAGATTCGAATTATTAGAAGTTCTTGGCCTAATATAATTCATGAAAAAAAAGATTACTGTTTGGGATTAGATTCACATATATGGAATATAAAGAGTTACTACTATTAGTTGATTTGAAAACACAAGCAAGGTCAGAATAAAAAGTTGATATAAAGCTCAAAAAAAATCAGAAAGTTTCAGAAATTTATATGACGTACCAAGGTGTTCGACTAAAATAATGTTTCACATTGCTATTAATTTCTTAAGATGGTTGTAAAACTGAGTTGCTTAATTATAGAAAAAGCCTAATTTGTAACAAGAAATTCTAAGTCTAATTTCTACTTACAACATATATAATACATCTTACTAAAAACATTAAATTAGTAACCGAAGAATGTATATATTTACAAATAAAAAACAAATAATATATATGTACAATCTTCAAATAATTACAGCTAGTTTCTAACAGACTAATATATTACATTTATCACAATGTTGCCAACATTTGCTTTTGAATAATCTTGGGATCGCTTATATATACAGTTCTAAATTGCATAGATCTAACTATTAAGTATCATCAAAAAAAAAACTTAAAATTCTAACACTAAATATAGATCAATATGTAAATAATTTATTTTTAGAATTGGGTTATTACCTTGGCTGCACTTGAAACAATTAGGTGTATAATTGTTTGGTAAACAATAACGATAAGCACGTATATATATATAAATCAAATATTGATCATTCATCGATGTGCTAAGGTAATCTGATATACGAGTATATATAGTATACGGGGTATACTCGAAATTTTTTTTTTTGCTATTTTCTACCATTTCGAAAACAGCAATAATAGTACTAGAGAATTGCAACTATATATAGAAAAAAAATTTTTGAACCATTTATTGAAATGATCAAGTGAATTTTTTAAAAATGATATATTATATTTTTAAAGGAATAAGGTTTTAGAGAGATTAAAATTAAGTTTAATGTTAAAATGATTATCCATTTTAATAAAAAGAAACTGGTGTTGTTTATCAACTAGAGTAACTTCAGATGTTATATTAAATCTTTTGGGTCTAAGTTTAATATCTTCTACAGATTTAGTATAGTTGATTGCTTGATAGTTATCAGAGAGATATAAGTGAAGTCAAACAAGGTTAATGCAAAATTGTAATCAGTTATGAGTTTGAATAGGTGGAATGGTGGCAAAAGAGACAAATATTTTTGGGTAGTTAAGTTTAGTAAAGAAGACTGTTGTGAATATAAGAATGAGTTTTTTAAGTGCTGTTTCAAGAATGTTAAATGATATTATAACAGCTTTGTTGTTATCAAAGTTATGTTGTTGAATTAAGTCAGTAAGAAATTTAGATCTAGCACTAGCCATTTGTTTAATTAATAGATAAAAGCTTGCTTTAAATAGATTTTAGTTTCTAATTGCTTCTTTAATAACTTTGCTAAAGTAGAATTTATGAAGATGTTCTTTAAATAAATTAAAGAGTTTTTGAGATATCTCTATCTGTAATTTTGTATGGTTTTGCATTTCATCAGTAACTGAAAAGTTTGCTAAGAAATCATATAATGGATTAAATTTGAGTCTTGTTGCTTGACTATAAGATTGGACTAGTTGAGATTGTTAAGATAAATTTTATTAGATTGTTGTTTGTTTAAAAATGGCAAAGATTAATATAAGGGTTGTTGTTGTTGTGTTTGTTAAATTTGTAGTTGTTGTTGTGATTTAGGTGATGTAGTAGAGCTATTAATATCTATATCATTGTTATTAGAAGTTGTTTCTTCAAGATTAGATAAAATAGATATGAGTTCTGAAACAAGAAGATTGTTTGAATTTTGATTAAATAAAGAAGTAACAAGCTGTTGAGTTGAAAGTTTATATTGTGAAGATGGATCTTGTTCAGGGTTTTCAGTAGGTTAGAGTTTGGATTAATTAGCTAGAATAATTTCTTTATAAATTTCAGTTAAGCAATTATTGTGATATATTGTATTTTGATAGAAGGTAGATTTATTGTGATATACTGTATTTTGATAGAAGGTAGATTTATTTTGTAGTGCATGATTGTTGTTAATTATTTTACAATTAATTAGAGTTTAGCATTTGGGACAAATGTATATATAAATAGTGACTGTAGAGGATAGTAGAACTTGTGATTTGGATTTTGTAAGTGCTTGTTAGAGTTTTTTGACTTGTTTGTTAGTGTTGCTTCTTTGGTTTTATTGTTAAATTCATATATTTTATTGTTTTCTGCAATGAATTTAGTATGAAATAATCCATATATATACTTGATTGTTGCAGTTGTCATAGAAGCAGGGAAAAAATAAGTTGATAAATAAGATCTAAGTTCCATAGTAATACATTTAGTAGGTCTATATTTGTTTGAGATAGCTCTTATTTGTACAGATTTATTTTTATAGATTGTGATGCCATAGGAGCTTATATGATTCTTGAAAAAGTAGTCAAAATCTAAGATATTTGGTATTTTTGTACTAAGAGTAGGCATAGTACTATAAGTTTACTTAGAAGTCTGAGTTTAGATTACTTAATAAAAATTTTTGTAATCTTTAATTAAAGATTTTTAAAAGTTTAATTATAATATAAGATTAATTGTAGGGTATAATTTGTATTTGCAGGGGTTTTATTGTGGTTACTGTGGCTGCTGTGGTTTGTATAATCTTGTATAATCTAAGTAACATAAGTTTGTAACTAGTATGGCTAGTATAGTTAATATAATACAAAATTATAACTAGTTGAGTATTATGATAACTATTATGTAATTGAATACAAAATTTATTTTTAGCAAGTTAGTACAGAGTGATTTGTAATAAATAAATTTTTTTTGGGATAAATTTAATTTACACAATATGAAATTAAATGAAACTAATTTTAGAAATGATTTGAGATTACACAAAAAATGGTTTGAAGAAAAAAATTTGAAGGTAAGAACAAAAGAATTAAAAAAAAGAAAAAGAAACTACAGAGGAGTTAAAGTTGTTTTTAATTATAATTTCATCAATTTTAGACCTACAAGTTTCTTTTTAAGCTTGTTTTGATCAGAAGATAGTGCTTTACAACTTTTCTTATGACTATAAAATATGTTAACAAGATACTTTATGAGAAATAATTAAAGGTTTAATAATAAAGGTCAAAGACTGTTTTGGCAATATTAAACTTCGAGTTTGAAAGTTATAAACTTGAAACTTTTAGAATATATATAAAATTAGAAGTTAAACAAGTTTATTTAAGACACCAAAGTTGGTTATCTTAATAAAATAACCAGATATTAGCAATTTTAGTACTGATAGATTTTTAGTTATTTTTGTATAAAAGGATTTACAGAAAGAGTTCTTTTTAGATATATATCAAAATAACAAATATCTTAAACCTACTAAATTTATTAGAAATATCATTATATACAATAATACAAATTCTTAATTTACATATCCTTCTTCAAACTATTATACAAATAATTTACTAGTATTACTTATTCAAGTTACATTAGCTTTAAATCATTATAAACAACTATAGCTTATTCTAAAAAAATCAACTAATAATTTTCTTATCTTATTATCAATTCTATACTTACTTGGTTCAACTCTACTATTTGGCAAATACAAAATGTTAAACAACATAAATAGATGTTAGTATAAGGAATTACTATCTTAACAAAAAAGAAAAAAACATTTATTTACCTATTTCAAAACTAACAAACTTTAATAATACTATTTTTACTTTTGATACTAATATAGATTCTTTTATTATTAAACTTCTTTTTTAAAATTTTATTATACATATTTGCTTTTATTAAACTAATAATTCTAAAGGCTTCTCTATTCTTTCTGTAGTTAAATATTAACAATAATTAACTAATAACAGAAAATAAGAGAATAATATCATACTAGATGTAGTTAGATATATATAGCAATAATAGTATAGTTTAGAAATAATTTTTTAGTTATATATTATATCTAATTAGTATATTTATGTATTATTATTATTTTTCTACTTAATATTATATTAATAAAAAACATAAAAAAAACTATTTTTGATTTTTATAACTTTTGTTAAAAATTAAAAAAAGATTTACTTTGTAAAAGACTAACATATTTTTAGTAAGTTTCTAGATTTTGAAACTAAAAATAAATTTTATTATTTTTACTATAAGATTTGTTAAAATCAGCCTGATTGATTTTATTAAATATTAGCCTATACTATTAATATGTAATTTATAAATATATTACTATTGATAATTATTACTAGTTGCTAAAATTTAAAGTTAAAGTACAGTTATAAAGATTTTTTTATATAATATAATATAAATTAGATATAAGGTCCTGATTTTAATTATTGTAAAGTTTTCAGGGGTTCTAAACATTTTTATTTAGAGTACCCAATCCTGTTTACTAAGTAGATTTTTGAGATATAATATAGGTTAATATTTAATCAAATCAGTTAGACTGATAATTAGAAATTCTTTTTTACTATATATTTTTAGTAATCTTATATAAATTACAAATTAATTCTAATTTAATGCTTTAAATAAACTTACTTAATATATAAAAAATATATAATTTAAACTTAAACTAATTTGCAAACTTTAAAGTTAAACTTTAAATTAAATCAAATTTAATTGAAAATTTTAAAACTAAATTTAAATTAAATATAATTTTAAAAATAAATTGAGTTTGAATTTGATATAAAATCAAATTAAATTTAAACTTAATTAAAAGTTTAATTTGATTTGTTTAAAATCCTATTATTAAAATATCTTTACTTAAATATAGTAATTTTGATATAGTAATTAGGTTATTATTTTTCGAGCAATAGGTCTAGAATTCAAATTTTATTAATAGTACAATTTTAAAAAATAGTTTTATTCTAAAAACTTGAATAAAGTATTTAGAATTGTAATTTTGTAATTTTAGTTGTATCAAAACTAATTTTTAAATTATATATAATATTATACAAATAAATTTAAAAAAATATATACTAAATAAAATAATTTGCTTAAATATTTAAAATAAAAAGATAATACAGTCAGACCTCTTTATAGTCACCTTCTCTATAGTCACTTTAGCTTATAATTACATAAATTTTTAAAACTAACTTATATAACACTTATAAAATTTAACCTTCATATAGACACAAACTCTCTATAAGCACCAAATTCTTAAAACCAATGGTGTAATTATAGAGAGGTTTGACTGTATAATCTTTAATATTATTATTTATAAAAATCTTGATTTGGAAAAAAATTTTGAATTAGATAACCTGTATAGACAAAAGACTCTAAATAGAATATTACTAATCTAACTACTAATCAATCTAAATATAAAGTTACATTATGTATAACTAATTAAATTAAAAGTATAAAAGAATTTGTAAAAGCAAATAATATACTAATAAGTTTGTAAAAAGAATATTAGAATTATATAAACTTTATAAAAGTTGAAAATTAGATTAACTATAAAAATAAATTATAGAAAACTCTAATAACAATGCTTTAAGAATATGTATTTGCTGTTCTAAAAGTATAAATTAGCATTTGTAACTCCTTAATTGGCATATGTACTAAAAAATATTACAGTAATACAATACAAAACTATATTACAAAAAGTTTAAATAAGCAATACTTATAATATAATTGAGTTGCAAATATTACATCTAGTATAAAACCTATAATGTAAACTAACTATTTAAATTAAACACCAAAAATATACATATGACTAGTTGTATTCTCAAATATAAAAAAGTTTTTTAAAATTGCCATGTTCTAATACTGAATAAAAAATCTTAATTTCAAAAAAACTAAATTAATTTTTTTTAAAAAAAAAAATCTTAAAGTTTAAAAAAAATTAAAATATTCATCAAAACAAATTATAGAATTTTTTTTAAACTTAATCAAAAATATTTCAATAACTACTAATATAAATTTAATAAATCTTTTTTATATTTAAATTTTATAAATCTATAAAATTCAAAAAAAATTTGATTAAATTTAATCTGATAATACAAAGTTCTTTTTGCTCAAAAAATTAAATTTGCAAAAAAATATAAATAATAAATTTAAAGATATAAAAAATAACTTCCTATTAAATTATCTGACTAAGCTTTATTATATAATTTTTTATAATTTTTACTAATATTAAATAATTATAAAAAAGTCTAATAAAATTCCAAAAAGGATAATAAATTTATATTTATTAACCTCTAACTAATTTAAAGAATTAAAAAATGTTATTCTAAAAATTCGCTGTATTAATAATATACTAATTTGCCATTATATTTTATTTGACTATTGGTTTTATATACCATCCCTATAAATTGGATATTAACTATGAATAGCTATCATAAGACCCAAGTGCTTGATATAAAACATATTCATCATCTGGCCATAATAAAAAACTATAATTATTTTCTCCGCTTGTAAAATGACCATGTTCATGTCTATTCCATGATATTGGTGAATCTTTAAAACCCCAAACGCTTAAAACAGCCCAAGGAATATTTGAATTTCTAAATTGGTCGCTATAATGATATTTATAAATAAAGTTAATAATTGGTTAGCAAATGAATGATGTTAGCAAATAAGGTATATTAATACGTACAAAATAGATTTAAATAAAACCAAAATCATTGATGAAGGGATGAATCCAGTACAACATAATAGTGACCCGTTACCGCTGAAGTAAGAACCGGGAATAGTATAACCAGATATATAGGAATCAACATTATCTTGCGATCTAATCCTGAAATAATATAATCATCAAGATAAAATGTGATATCAAAATATTATAGTAGCTAATGCTGAAATTGAAATTGATTGATGCTAAAAAATTTGCACTATTTTATGAATGTTATAATTTTTGGATGTTTTTTATTAGGATTAGGTCGAGATTTAAAGCTAAAATCGATAATAAAAGAGCATGAATAGATTTTAGTAGGCATTGTATATTTAATTTGGAGCCCCAAATTCAATATCAGACAATGTCAACATAAGCCGCCACAAATAATTTTACTCAGAATGTTAAATTTTATGTATTAATTATATTTTTAATAATTGTCGTGGCTGACGCTGAAATTTAGGATCTCGATTTGAAAATATGGGCTGCCGTCAATAGAAATCAGGTAGATTGACATTTTTAAAAAAAAGCAACACCTTACCTTTTACAGTTCATATCTTGATGAATTTATAATCTAGTTTAATTATTTAATATTCAAAAGAAAGCTTGAGATCTAAGCTTTCTTTCGGCTATTGAATAATTAAATTGGCATCAAAATTCATCGAGATATGAGCTGCGAAAGGTAAGGTATTGATTTTTTTAAAATGGCAATCTGCCTGATTTCTATTGACGGCAGCACATATAAACCCAACCCTAAAAAAAACACCCTAAAAAAAAGTTTTAAATTTTATATCAAAATAGGTCCAAATGTCAGCGTCAGCCGCGACAATAATCTTGATCAACCATACAAATTAATATTTGGCGATATGTGCAGCCTTTTGATAATTACCTTTGCGCTCGAAGTGAGGCCATTCCGAACCAATTGTAAACCTCTACAATATCAGACCTCCATTGATCTTCATTGGATGCGGTTTTTATGGCTTTCATGTCTGGGAAAATGATATTATTCAACTTCTCAAATTTCAATTCAACCGTAAATTTCTTGGCATTAAATGTTGGCGGAAATGTTATCTTCTGTGTTTCCTGAGTTACTATTTTTATATATATCAGAAAGCGAGTGTAATGATGCAAACATATACATATATTTCTGAAATTAATACCAGAATCTACATAAGAAATAAGAAATGGAAATGGATCGCTCAATGTATTATTAAAACACCATTTAATACGTTCGAAGCCCTTCTTTCCGGGAATCATTGATTTTTCAAGTAAATTAATCTGTACGACTGAATAGTATACGTAAAATACTAAATAAGACATGAAATTTGTAAAATGAGGAATGAAAATGTTACCAAATCTTTGCCTATCTGGTCCAAACTTGGCAGGTTTCCCGGGTAATCCAAGTTGCTCATAAGTATCTTTAGTTAAATTTAGAATGAGGGTCCCTATTTAAACAAAGGTTGAATTTTATTACAATATAACTTCAGCAATAGTGCCAACGTCGTCAGCTGTTATTAACTGAAAATAATAACCATATCCATCAAGCGCGATAACATTTGATACATCAATGCCTTCACCCAAACTTTGGGCAACAACACGTCCTATTATGAAGTAGGGAAAGATAAATGGACTATTTTAAGCACCTAAAAACTTTAAAGATGGATATCATCTAACTACCTCTTTGTAAATAATCTTGTATAAAAGAACGTTCGATAAAGTAAGACAAAGGAATATCGGCTTTATAATAAAAAGTCTCTTTTAAAAATTTGGCTTCCTGCTGAGACGATAAAAGAGTTGGAAATAGAAGCTCAAGGCGATGGTTAAAAGGATGGTCCTCAATGATTTGTACATGTCGTGACTTTGGAGAGGCGGTGGAAGAAGAAGAAACGTAAAGTTTTGATTTTGCAGGTTCTGATAAAAAGGCCATTTTTTTAATGTCAAACATGAAGTGGATCTGATTCGATTATTTAGCAAGGGTCGAGTTAGATCATGATAATCTGGATATTCTTAAACAAATCTGATTGGCTAATAGATTCAATTTAATTTTACAGTATTTATACAGTTTAGAGTACTTTTAAAAAACGAAAACCAAAGTAAAAAAAACTATATAGAAGGCTTTTAAACGGACGAGAATTAGATCTTATGTTTGGTTACGGAGTCCTACAGCTCTAATAAAACCTTCTATATAGCTTTTTTTATTTTATTATAATTAGTTTTTTTTTTTTAAAAAAAAAAGTACTCTAAACTGTATAAATAATGTAAAATTAAATTGTCAATTAGATGAACTTCTGCCTATGACTCTGGCCCTTAGCTATCTTTAGATCGAAATTTTTTAATCGAGCCGTTTTTACCTAACTGAAAAAATTCTTTTATAACGAAGCGATAATAAAATTATAACCGCATTTTTTGGCTTGACTTTTGAAATTATATAAATTTGTTTAGTGCACAAAAATACAATAAAACCAATAAAACTCAAAGAAAAGAGACGATGGCTCTATTCAAAATACATACTATATAAGGAGAAGAGAGAATGTCACAACTTTAAATACATAATATAAAAGAGAAAAAAGAGATAATATATGACTTAACTTTAAATACACAATAAAATTTTAATAAAAAATACAAAAAATTTCAAAAAAAAGGTAGGCAATGATTATATTTTCAAAATAATAAATCAAGAATGTCTGTTTTGATAAAAAAGGCAGGGTTTTTATAGTTTTTAGAAATATCTTTATATAATACAGTAATGTATCAGATAACATTTTAATAAATAAAATCTGAGTTTTGTATCTTAGCAGTTAAGCTTTTAGGTCTTCATAAACAAGATTAATAATTTGAATTAGGCTAAAGACAAAACTAAGTTTTGTTTTTGTAACTTTAAAAAGCCAAATAATGAACAAGCATATATACAAATTTAGATAAAAAAATTCTTAAAAGAAGATCTAATTATAAAGTATAAGCATTATGTATAATTGTAATATTACAAAAATTTTTAATTATAGAAAGATTGATATATAAGTCTTTGAGACAAAAAACAGTACCAACATTTGATATCTTCTAGTCAGATGATACCAATATCTCTATATTTTTACATTCAACTTATAAATATTTGCTTAAAAAAAGTAATCTTCAAGTTGTACAAAAAAAGTTTATTAGAATGTATAAAGATAAAATTTAATTAGAAATATAATCTAAAATAGTTAAAAAAACTAAAATAATAAAAAAATAAAAAACACAAAAATAAATAATAGTAAAAAATTAGTTCTATTAAATTACTTTTAATAACAAAAATATAAGTTATAGGTTATATTATCACTTCTGATTCATTATATTTTATATTGTTATAGAACGATTTATTTTTATTTTATTATTATTATTATTATTATATTATTATTAGTATTAGTTATTTCATTATTGTATTATTATTATTAGTAGAAGTTG